TAAAAACAGGGTGACGCAATGGGGAAAGGGTGAAATGTCGCAGGGTCCCCGCGGGGCCTGTGCCGTATCGTATCATGTGCGAGGGAGTCCGAAAACTGGACAATGGGCATAGCGCGGCTGCCGCGGTTAATCCGCAGCGGTGGAGCGCCTCCGCGGACCAGTTTTAGCGGCTCCGCGAAAGGGTTGACGCAACGTTCGAGTTTAGCGATACGACGTGCAGTGAGCAGTACACACATACGGGTCGTGGTCGACGTGTGAAAAATACCGAAAACAACGTAACTGACCGGCGGACGTTTCAGATTGAACTTTCGTTTTCACTCGGACTACGTACGCTCAACTAACAATCGCAGTGCTCTCCTCTTCGCTCGTCCTTTGTACAATCGTCGTTTGACCTCAAACCGTTCATCTTTTATCCGCGGTCTCAGTGTCCCGCACAATATAATAATTGTAATGACAGCAGTACGTGCATGAAATAAACAAAACGAATCTTTACAAAAAAAAAAAAAAAACGCATTTCTCTCACACGCGCGACTATTACGTCGCGTAATGATAATAATTATCGTTAACGCTTGTCGTATAACAGTGTACACGTACGCAACGATTGTCCGCGTGGACGTTATACGCGGGCACGGGCGTTCGCACTGGTAGCGCGGTTTTTTTTTTTCTTTCCGTTTTTTAATTCGAAAGGATTTCGCGCTGCTCCCCGTCGCGTGGCCAAATGTCGTTCGTGTGTCCGGCGGCTATTGACGATTATTCGGCCGTTAAAAATGTGCCGTCGACGTATTGTAATAATAAGTTTCCCATGAACGCGCGTGCACCGGGAGAGAAACAACGGTCGTGGCGCGGCGGAGTTTTCCCCGGTTGTCGCGCGCGGATGCAATTAAAATCTGTCGCCGATCCAGAACGTCTCGATCCAGTGTGAAACGCGCCGCTAATTGGAAACAAGGTTGCATATTATTGTATATTATTGTCGAGAGAAAAACACGTCGATGTGTATATTATATTCGTATCTGTTGTACACGTTCTAATTGACCGGAGTATAATGGAAATCTCTGCGTGGAACCCGATGAACCGCGTGCGCGCGCGCACCTTGTGGAAAAAAATAAAAAAGGTCCTCCGGCCGGGCTAATGACTTGTGTTGACACCTGGAGAGCTTCGTAGTCGGTTTTCCTCACTTCCATCTGTTTCCTCCACTGTTTTCTCGGTCCGTTGCACCTCGGTTGACTTCTTTCCACACACACACACACACACACACACGCAATAGTCTGGTGTTTTTACATTTAATACGCGCCAAAAATCTAAGACCAACACCAAAATCAAGGACCTTTAATTATCATTATTTCAGTGCGGCAAGTCTCTCTCTCACTCTCTCCTTCTCTCTCGCTATGTTGCTCTCTACGGGCGGTTGCCCGTCATCGCCGTCGCGCCAACAATTATTATACGCACGACGACGACGATGCACCGGGGTACAAGTGTTTCGTTATCTTGTAAATCCTGTCGCCGCTGTTATATTTATATTGTTAGGATATTTTAATGGTAAAATAACAACGTTGGACCGCAACAAATTGGCCGAAAATGCATTTAAACGACCGCCCACTTCTTGAACCGCATCGAAAAAATATGATAATTTCAGGCATAGATTTTCACAGTCGTGAAAACGATACAATAATAATGATGTTCCGGTAAAAATATATTTGATAAACGTGAACGAAAAAACAAAAATTCTAACATTATAATTACAAATTTTATATTTATGTTCCTCATGGTTAATATCTGTTTGTTCTAGTTCTAATTACATTACCTATATATATATATCTTTGTAGTTTTTATTTATTATTACTATTTTTACTGTGAAAATTTATTTAAATGTATCTGCGACAGATAATCATAAAAGTTTTATTCACAAATAATTTGCATTGTAAATTTAATTTATTGATGATTTTTAATAAAAAATTAAAGCAAATAAAATATAAACATACATTGTCTTAAACATAAAACCTTTTTTTTTTTTATATTTGTACATCACGACGAATATAACCGGTGGCGATGCGAAGGACGATTTAAATTGTAGTTCACTTTCAGGCACCGCACACGGGTACGGGTACAATAATTATTTGACTTGTGTCGCAACTGGTGTCGTGAATTTTATGAAAAAAAATTTTCTAGAATGTCGCAAGACGTAGTTTCGAAACCCGCGTGCGCATTACAACGTCACTTCTCTAACCGCTGGTAGAAACGATAGGGATAGGGTACACACAACATATAAAACGACGTATTATTTTCTCATCCGCAATCTTCGTTCGTCTCGCCTTAGCCCCCTTAGTCTTGTCTCTCATAAAAGCAAATCAACGCCGGGACGATGAGGACGACGAGGAGGAGGCCGAAGGGAAAGGAACGGAATTATTTTCTTGTCATTAGTTTTCTCGGATATACAATATACTCGGAGTGCGCACATTGGCAGTGCGAGATTTAGATTTATATATATAGACGTGTGTATTGTATACGTTTTCGCCGGCGGGCGAACGACACACGAAATTCGACTACTGCACGCGAGATGATGATGATGATGATGACGACGGGGAGAAGGCGAACGTAACTTTTCAATTTATATACGACGTTCGGCTGAATTCGAAACCGATTGCACAACTTTTCCAATAACTCCGCTCCAGGCGCGCGCGGAGAGGATGGGGACTCCGTGATGAAAAAAAAAGCGAAATAGAACGCGAAACACGTGAAAACGAAATCCCGGACGTGCTCGGGGTAGGGGGGGGAGGGTGGAAAATAAATGTGCATGAAAAAATACCTGTGTTGGTGGTGTTGGATTCGGCGTCCACGCACGACGACACCGAGCAGCGGTTGGACGACTTCTTGTAGCCCAAATCCTCGGACGACTCGGATCCCTGTTTCACTCGTCCCGCGGCCGCGGCTTTCTCGTCCTCGGAGCTCATCGCGTCGTCACCGCCACCGTTGTTCCGGTGGTGGTCGGACGACCGCTTAGGCGTGCTCGACGACGGCGGCCGTCTCTGGTGATGGTGATGAGCCAGCGGATCGTCGACCGTCGGCGACTGCGACCGGTGGTGATGGTTGTGGTGCTGCGACGGTTTCGTCTTGGTCGCGGACAGTCCGTTGTCCAGCGGCGGCGGCGGTCCGCCACTGCTGTCGTCGGTGCCGCCACCACTGTTGCAGTTGGCCGCAGTCAGCAGCGGGTCCTTGCCGCACCCGGTCACCTTGTGCTGGACGAACCGGCATATGTCCGACAGCAGGAACACTCGCTGGCACTGGCCGCAGGTCAGCAGGTCCACTTGATCGGCGCTGCCGGTGCTCTGTGTCGGATCCGTATCCGCTGCGGGGACACAAAAAACAGAATAACGTAAAAATACTGCGCTCGACGAACGTACAACTTTATTTTTACTGTATCAACAGTCCCTGCCGTAATAAGCGGCGCACAGGATTTTCCGGGAGGGACTTGCCCGGGATAAATCGTCGATCTCGACCACACAGCCGTCACGCGGTATAGCCGCCCAGTTAATGTACACAAACGCGTAGTGGCTCATTGTGCGCACACGGACGCCGTCCATTTTATGCGAGCTTATCGGTTTTAATGACGAAAATCAATAATCGACCGATTGTCGTCCCTCCGCGCCAGCACACACACCCAACGCATGCACGCACAGATGTAAATTATACGTATATATACGTGTTTTTTTTTTTTTTTCTTTCTGTTTAGCGCCCCGCCGAAAAATACAACAATGTGAAATCGTCCATCAGAAACAAGTAGTAATAATAATGGCAACGATGACGACGTATGTGGTGGTCGCCGCGTAAATTAGTTTAGGTCTGTTTGAGGGTTACACTGCGGGCTGATGGGGCGATGCGCCCGCCGCATACAGAACGCTACTTATCGCGATGACGCGTCAAAGGTACTGCGCACAACACGCGCGCGCGCACGACTTATTACCGCGTCTAACCATGACCATTGCGAGTACGTTCGGTGCATTAGCGCCGACTCGTTTCGACAAATAATGGCGACGTCAAAAAAACCTATCGACGTGATACAATTTTCAACGCGCAGTAGTATTTTTACACGTTCGAATGTACTTGGACTACGTGTCGGTTGCGGATAAATATGGTTTATCGTTAAAAACTGAGCGCACACAAACGATAGCGATTGCATTAAAACCGGTAGTTCAAAGCCGGCGCGGGAGTTCCCGCATTACGTTGAACAGAGGGGGGAGGGGATCAATAATTGACCGAATTTCGATTCTCTACTCGATACATTTTAAAATACAATACGTACTGACCTCGGATGACTAGGTAATATCGGTTAATGGTACTCGGCAATTGCGCTACTCTCGCTGTAAATCGTTTCCAATATCCCGGAAATCCGCCGTTTATATATATTATTATTTCGTGCCGTGTTCAAAGAGATTCTATTATACTGAACTACTCTTGACAATATTTGTAAGCGTTCCGTCCGTCCCTAATAGTTTTTAATCGCTTCGGGGACGAAGGGATATTATTGTTTATGCGCCGCGGCCGCCACACAATCGGGGCGGGGTGACCGTTTGTATATAATACGACCCGGCGCAAAAATGGCAAACGTGCGTTTGACGTGAAAATCTCGGACGATGATACCAACGTATATTTATACACATAACTTATATATATATATATATATATTAACACGCACAAAATAGGATTTTTGTAACTATTATAAGTTGTCGGTCGTATATATATCGGTCGCACTCCACTCCACTCCACATATACACACACACACACACACACACACACACACACACACACACATATACACGTGTATCACGAGGACCTTAAATGCGTCTAATGGACACTCTGTATACAAGCGAGCAGCACACGGTGAAAAATCCCGTGGGGTAGTGTTTTTGTTTGCCCGAGGGGTGCGTCCGCCGCGCGCTGGTCGTCCGTCCCCGCGAAGGGTGTGACGGGGACCGCAAAACATCTGCGTGCCAAACCGCCGTGCGTATGAACCGTATGTGCGTGTGCCAGTAGGTAACCGACGACGATGGACGATGGTCATTGGTCCGATCGATTGGTCATTCGGTCACTTTTGGTCAACGCCCCGGGCGTACACCCCCCCTGCGAGGGAGGAGGCCGTCCCGCACACGGGTGGCGGTCAAACGAACCGACCGTTTCCGTTTCGGACTTTTTTTCATCCCCCTTGCGCACAAACGCGCCGCATACAAATATACATATATGGATTTCCTTTCTCTCTCTGTAAATTCCGTTTGCAGCGTTTTCCGGTTGCTCTTTACGCACGCGTAAAAAATATTATACGTCATTACGTTCCGTCGTCCATCATACGCGTATTATTATGTGCACGTCCGTCTCCGACGTTTGACTTTTCGGTAAAAAAAAAAAAAACCCGCATCGTAGGTTACTACGAGACTCCCCGCCGGCGTGCCAGGAAATTACATCTATCCGCCAGCCATTTGTCGCGTCCTAGCACCAAACCCGCTTACTCACTCCGATACTACCGGCTGGCAACCCCGTCAACCCACCTCGATTCGTACGGGGGTAAAAAAATAATAAAATAAAATATAACACGAAATACAGAACACTTCAATAATAAACGCGCTACCGCTCAGCTGTTACACCCGGAATACGATCATATTTTCCAAGATATAAATATATATATATATATATATATATAAATATGTAGGTAAACTAGTTCAGGGATTTGCGCCTTAAAAAAAAAAAAAAAAATTGCCCCATACGGTTTCTTTTTTTTTTTTTATTTATTATTTGTTTACCTTCTGTACGCGAACGTATGCGATTATGACTGCCACCATAAATTATACGTACGTGTACACGTACTCGTGCGTGTGATTGATCGCCGTCCGATCGATTGATTAATCATTTGGATCGCGGCAATCCCGGCGGCGGCGTCCGCGTCTGTTACCGCACGACAATCGTAATGCGGACGCGTTCTACGACGTGTACATAGTACAAAGTATACAAGTATACTTTCTCTCGGCTGCAGTCGCGAGTAGTGCGGTTAGTACGGTCGACTCGAAAACGATTTATTTTTATTATTTTTCCCTTTTCGCAACGGCCGACGACAGTTTTCGAATTTTATTGCGTTACCATCGGGACAATGCGACGTCCGTTGCCGTGTCACGCGTACAACTCTCGGCGGTAGGTACACGCGCGTGATGATTCAATGCGGTCGACGAACACGTTCATATAATAGTTTCACGGGGGTCACGTGCACCGAGATCTACGTTCGGGCGCGTCTCGTTAGCTTGTCGAAAGTTTTCCGCTCGTTCAATAATAATAAGCGCACCCGATCGGACTCTTACGTAATATGAAAATAAATCCGATCCGGTCAGCAGTCAGCGCGGACGACGCGGAGTGCACTAGCCGATGACGTTACGGCGGACACGAATCGCTGCAGTAGAGGGATGAAATAAAAAAAAAAAAAAATGCACGTAAAGGATGTATACGCCCTCGGAAAAATAATAAGTTGCGCGGCACATTCAGCGGCGACGGCAGTTAACGCACTCGAAACCCGCACTTGGCCTGCGACTTATTGCGCACGGTGCAATACTTACGGACGCGGTGCCTCGGACGGGTCGGAACCGGTACGTGAAAAACACGCTGCAGTCCATAGAGCTAATGGAATAAGTAAAAGTTAAATGAAAGATACGAGTAAACGGTGGCGGTGCGCGACGCACATATATACCCAAGTTAGTGTGTGGTCGTCACCGTCGTCGGTGGTAAATCGTACGTAATAAGGGAAGAGAAATGATAATGACACGAGAGGAAGTATCTCTCTCTCTCTCTCTCTCTCTCTCTCGCTAGTACACTCTCGTGTACATAAATCTCGTGTGGCCTCCGTAACGCCGAGCGTGTCGCCACCGTCGCCGCCTGCTAGCCACACGTGTACAATTTCGTGTACGCGTATAGAGAGGTATATCGCCTCGGCAATAAAATCTCTCGCCTGCCGCTGCCGCGTTTGCACAGCTGTCCCCGGCCAGTTGTCGCCCGACTTCACCCACGTAAGTATACCGAAACGCTACACATACGAGTATATATCACATGCGGTGGTGCCCCCTTTGGCGTTTTGATCTATCGGCCAAACTGTGTAAACCGCCGCAAACAGTAAATAGTCTATACACCTCCGGGTCCCCCTGGGCTTAGACATCAGGTAAAATTATCACTCGTTGTTTGTATATATATATATATGTATATGTGTGTATATGTGTGTGTACGTGTATTTCCTCTCCTCGTACGGTGTGCGCGGTAAACGCGATTAGAACGACTCGCACACGGCCACGCGGTGACCCGACAACAGCCGAAGGGGCTATTTTTATATTGGTTAATTCGATTGGCGACGACCCCGCGGGACTTGGAGACGATTTTTTCTAACGGCGAAGGCAACAAGAACACCCGGAAAAAAAAAACACTTCGTCAAACTTTTGGCCTCGGGAAACATTTTTGCTCTTTCTCTCTCGCTGTCTCTTATTTTCTCCCGCAGGACTTAATTGAAACGCGCGAAGAAGAAATCACTCCCCCCCCCCCCACCCCACCGACTACATCGTCCGTCGCGGGGCGCGGAAAAACTCGGCTCACCATGTCCGCCGCTCGCAATAAACAACTTAAAAGGACCGATGTAATTGCCCGATTTTTACGACCCTCGCCCGGTTGGCATCGTGCCGGGACGCGTACACCGAGATTAATAATTTTCCGCGAGGGAAACGCGAAGTTTCTATTAAAAAGGACAACGTTTCGATTTCCTACCAGAAACCGTTCACGCACATACAAGTGTACATATATACATGACGTATATAATGTACTGTTCTTCGCCATTCCTGCTCCTCCTCGTCACCACGCGCCCAACGAGGACGTTGTCACTGCCGTTATCAGCAGAAGGGTATCATCGTCGCAAGTTCGCGCACAAATTGGGAGCCGATATTTCTATTTATTATTTGTACGCGAATTAATGGACTTTGGAGGATTACAATCGTCGGCCGGCCGCCCTTCGTGTAGGATATTATATATTTTTGTTACATATATACCGTACCGTCGTGTCTGACAATCTCGATCATGTCTACCGCGCGGTATACGACTGCTAAAATATTACACGGTACCGAAACACAATTTTCGAATGGTAATTCGCCCTACCAGCGTTAACCTAAACCCCGCGCAGACCGCGTAGACGATTACATTATATTACACAAAACATAACGATTCACATGCGACAATAATAGATTTGAGAATTAGTTCGAAAATACGCGCGCCGCTCACCCCCCCGGTTATTATTAAGACCGCGTTTATAGTTTTATATATTTATAGGCCACACAC